TCAATTCTATAATGCAAATAGCAGCAAAAACTAGATTTTCGATAATTTTTCTAAAATGATTTCAGATTACTTTGACATAAAAAACGAACATCACCACTGAATTCAGCATGGTCGATTACTTATAATGTGATGCATTGAAGGTTGATTCAGGATCACCTGACTGATTTCGGGAGTTTCAGAAAAATCCCTATAGCTGCGGAATGGAGCAAGCTATTGAGCTCGGCTTTGCGTAGATCGAAAGAGAACAATTTTTTCTATCGAATAATTTAATTGAAGTTTCAAATTCGACAAAAAAAGCGTTTCAAAAGCTATGTTTAAAATGGTCAGCAGGCTTTCATTCTATTGATCAATTACTGACCAATGAAATTTTCCCATAGATTTATGTGTTCTCGTGTCCTCTTCCTATTGGTGAGAACTGCAGCTTTCTAGCTGTTTGCATTCTCGAGTTATTCGGCTCACAATCACTCGTCTTCTATTTTGAAATGGATAGTAGTTAATACACAAGTATATTAGTCTCTCGACGTTTACTAATTATAATATAAATATAAGTTCAATCTACTGGCATCATTCGGATATACCTTCTCATTGAGGTAGGAATTATTTCAAGTATCTTACAAAATATAAATCTGTATTGTGTATAAAAGAAAAACGTTTTATGATATTTTTCAAAAGAAACATTCAAAAAATGACGGTGTCATAGTATCCAAAACTCTATTATTATAACAATAACGATATCCAAAATATATCAATTCAATTGGGAATGTTCTTCAGCGATGTGAATGTATCAATATGATTATATTTTTCTGAATAGATGTGAATATTGACTAAAGTGTAAACTTACGTCTGATAATACCAAGTCGTGTAAGTAATAATTGAGTTTCATCATGAACAGTAGGCATATCACGATTCGAACTAATATTCATTGACGGCATTTGTTGAATTGTTTGTTCATTCTGATTATTTTCAACATTCGATGACATTGATCGAAGAAATTGAACAAAATCATTTGTTTGACGATTTTCATTATCTGAATCCGAATGAGAACCTAAAACTAAATATGATATTTTAATTAATGTCTTCTTTTTTTTTGTTTCAAAAAAAAAATTAGTTTTAAAACCTTTTCGCTGTTCTATATTCAATGATTCAGATTTTTGACTTATTGAATTATCAATTGTTTCTTCATGATTATCAGTTATTGTTTCAAATGGTGAATCAAGAGCATCACTAACAGATAACATTGTTGATAATTGAGGAGGACCTAACAAGAAATATAATATTATAGATTTTAATTAAAACAATCATTTTAATCAAACCATAAATTCTTTTGGGTGGTAGAGGCGATTCTTGATCAGTAGATGATAATATCGGTGACAAATTTCTTGGATCTTTTTCAATTTGTTGTTTATTTTCTGATTGAATACATGTTAAGAGTTGAGAATTAGAGTATTCAAGAGTATCAGCTGAAAAACCTTCACTTGCTAAATAAAAATTCATGAAAATTGAAAAGTTTTATGTGTTTTTTTTTCTTTTTTGTTATAAATAAAACGTACAAGCTTTTTCAATATCTGATTGTGGAACAAAAAGTGTTGTTGATCTTTTTTTCTAACAAAAAAAATAATTTTTTAATTAAATATATAAATGAAAATAAAAAAACAAAAATATACTTCTGATTGATGATGATTGATTTGATTACTAAATCTTGTTTCAATTTTTAATGTTCGATCTATTTTTTTATTTTAAATCTTAAATTTATTTTCATAAAATAAAAGGAAAATAAAATACTTTCACTTGTTCGTCCTCGATTATTTAATGATACTGGTGGTTTCGATTTATGAGAATTGTTTGTAGTCTAATTTAAATATATAAATTTTATTATATTTTATTTAAATAAATCAAATCTGACATATGTAGATGATCGTTGTCTTGTTGTTAATGATATTGGTCGTTGTTCATTATTTGTTATAGTTGATGATCTTGTACTTCGTGAAACTAAAGAAAAAGTTATTAATTATGTAAAATGATAATAAAAAAAAAAAAAAGATAAGGGGATTGTTATTTACTTGGAGGAGATGGAGATGGACTTGATGAATTCTAAATTAATTTTTTAATTGAATTAAATAATTGAAAAGAAGAACAATATACAAACTGTAGAATTTTCTAATTGACAACTAAATAATAAAATGAAATTATTAAGAAAAAAGAAAAAAACAATTTTTTTTTCTGTATTTGAATAATTTACTGTTGACAAGGTTTTGATCCAACAATATGTTCAATTTGAAAAATATGATTTTCATCTTTTTTAATTAATCCATGTTCACAACAAGCTATTATTTGATCTTCAAGTATATCATTTATATAAAAATCTAATTTTATTTTTGGATTATCTCGATAACGTTTTGATTTAAATGTTAATTGATCTTTAAATTAATATATTTCAAATTAATAAAAAATAAAAATAAAAATATTCAAAAATCATTAAGATTACCTCCACGTGTTAAACAACCTTTAAAAACTGTTCTACCATTTTCAACAATCATTATCTCGTCACCATGTCTACTAGTAGCTGAACTACGATAAGTTAATGTGACTAAAGAACATTCTCTTGTGTCACTCTGCTAGAATTACATAAAAGTAAATATTTTAAAGCTTTATAGAAATGAAATGATAACATACGCGATGATGATGATGATGATGATGATGACGATGTTGAGAAAGACTACCACTTCTATGTCTTGACTATTAAATAAAAAAATAAATAAAACAATTAAATATTTGAAAAAAAATCTATTTACTTGTTCTTCATGAAGATCAGTCGAATCACGTCGATGACGATTATCTCTATAATCACTTGTTTGAGAATGTGATCGAGGATGTCGTCGTCTTTCTGAACTCTATTTTAAGATAAAATCTTTAAAATTTATTTTCTATAAAGAAATTATTAAATGATTAACCTGTATATTATGAATAATTGATTGAAATTCTCGTCGAAGATCATTTTCACATTGTCTTTCAAGATCAATTGCTCTTTAAATAATAATATATTCATTTTTATTTTATTTTATTTAATAACTCACTGTTCTATTATTCTTTGATTAATTAAATCTTTGGCCAATCGAAGTCGTTCACGTCTTAGTAAATGATCCATTTAAAAAAAATGTTTAATACGTAGATAATTCTATATGTATATCAAATAAGTCTTTTCATTTATTAATATTGATTATAGATAAAAATAATATTTGATTCGACCTAAAAAAAAGAAAAGAAATTGATTAGTTGATCTTCATCAAGACAGTAACACTCAACATAATTTTTTCTCTACAAATGTGCACGTTGTCTTACACTACTACGTACTGCTTATTATTCACCAAACAACGTTGAAAAAACAAAGATGAAGACAGAACGCAAAAAAAAAAGAAAAAAAAAAACAAAATAAAAATGAAGGTTCTTTTTTTCTTTGCGAAGCCAATACCTTTTAAATTACATAGTAATGTTTGTTTCTTTTGTCGATTGTGGTTATTATTATGTAGAAAATAGTAAAGACAAGATGTACTATCAGAATGTCCTTCAGGTATCATTACATATAATAAATTTCAAAATAAACATTATTCATTAAAATCAACCAGACATACAATATGATTTTTGATTATTATTGAAATGATTATTTTATCTTTCTAATTGTATTTATTTAAAATATTGAAAAATGTACTATTTATGTTTAGTATCGTAGATATGAAAATTTTGTTTAGAAAATTTTCTCTATTTGAAATATTTTCATGATCAATATACTATTAGACGGCATGAAATTTTTTAAAAATCTAATTATTCTATCAATCATTTTTTTATTACATAGAATAAAGTTATCTTAAGTAAACATCTATCAATTATTCAAGTACTTTACCATATGCACAAGAGTTCAATTTATTGTTCTTTTTTTTTTAATCAATCAAGTAATAAAAGATTTTTCCTTTTTATTCAACTTGGAATTTTCCAAGAAAATAATATTCATTTTATTTATGATATACAAAAAATTAGGACAAACATTTCACATAGGTCTACCCTGAGACATCTAATATTGAGAGGCTATCGCGATTTTTTTGGGAAGGTGTAGAGATTTTTTTTTTTTTAAGAAAATGCACGAAAAATTTCCGACTCTCCAGGGTAAAAGCAAAAATTTTTCTTTGTTTGAAGGATGTCACACTCCTGACACTTCCTTCCGATCGAACCATTTCTAATTTCACGTTAGAATTCAGACGTCAATAAGTGATAATTGAGTGTGTGACAATTTGAAGAAAAAATATGTTCTGATTGAGAATAAAAAACGTTTCATCGTTGTTTTTTTGTTATAAAATAAATGAAAAGTTTTTATTTTCTTCTATCGATTATAACTGTTATTCTTTAACAAAGAAAAATAATGTGAAATATACTTATTAAAGGTCAATATTATTTGTTAAAAGTTTATCTTACTCAATTTTCATTTCAATAATATAAGAATGTTTTTAAAATGAATTCTGAGTTTTTATTTTTTTTGAAATCGTTCTGACTTGTTTTAGTTTCGGTGAATAATTCTAGAAGTTTTATTTTTGACAATTTTTTTCTTTTTTAAAAAAAAAGAGTATCGAATTATTCGACAAAATAAAAAAAAACATATCAGAGCTATTTCGAAAAAAAAACCAAACGCACATCGCTGTGAAAATCCTCTAAACAAAAAAAAAATAATAAAAATATTTTCTCTAGATGTGTACAATGCTGATTGAGGTATTGTAATATATTCATCAAAAGACGCCACCTTTATTCACGAATATATGCTTGACGACAACTACACAGCAATAAAGTATGAGCATGTTTTTTGCCGTTCTTCTAATATTTACTGTCTTATTTTATTTCGTTGTTATTTTTACTAAACGTATCATAGTCAAGACAAGCAAACAGAAAAAAAAAAGGTAGTCAGTGAGTACTGTAATAGTCCACGCTCAGTGGTAATCAAAACAAATTCAATTAATATGTCTCAGCAAATATCTCTATGTGAACAATGTCATCAACAATACACTTTATTTCGACGAAAAGTAAGTTAAAATAACATCGAATACAAATGAAATAATATAACAATTTTAATAGATAAGATATCATAGAAGTTTATTTGAAGCAGAAAAATAAACAATAATTCATTATGTTTTTGTTTTCCAAAAAAAAAAATAAATTGAATTACTTTAGAAACAATGTAATTTATGTGGACAAATATTTTGTTCAAAATGTATTCAAAAACCAGGACCTTCTATTGGAGTGAATTGTTCACGTGCATGTACAACGTGTTTATTAATTATAAATGAACATACAACTAATGATCAATTAGCATCAATACGTACAAAACATCTTCGTGCTTATCTTATTTATTCAAACAAAGTTTCTTTAAATCATCTTGAATCTTGTTTTGAAAAACAAGATTTAATTAATTTAATTCAATCAAAAAAAGATCAAATATATGAGCAAAATTATGTTTTTGTTGAACGACGTACAATAACAAATACTCAAACATCAAATCATAATACAACAACAGAAAATATTAATCATGATCAACAATCAACAGTCAATACAGATGAACAGGTAAAGAAAATTTTTCTTTTATCTAAATCCGATTTGACTAAATTAAAATTATCTGATCTATTCGTTCTAAATAGGTTTTTTTTCTTCAGGACAAATTCACTGATGCATAAATTGAGAAAAAAAAAACAAATTGTCGTTCCTTTTGTCCGATAGGGTTACATAGACTGAACTCCGACTAATAAGCCGTAACGAAGACCGATAATAGACCTGAAATAACTAAAAAGTTCTCAAGAACAATATTCACATAGCCTTAGAGTACACCGAACTATGAAATTTTCATTTTTTCTTATATTATTTGAAAATGATGATGTCTTGGATGTCTTTCTTAAAATTTCTTTTTTTTCTTATGTATCTCGATGAGCTCTATCTAATCATCATGAAAAAATCTGTACTAAAGTTATGAATTGGAAGCAGCTTACATATACTATAAACAACTTAAAATTCAAATATCTTAGTTCGTGCACGCCAAAAGCAACTGATATTTTAAATTTAGTAGTTTCTCAATGAAAGCTTTAATTTGATCCGAATCATACACTATGGTTCTTTTGATTTCAATCTGAATTTAGAAGGAAAAAACAACACTCGATTTCAAACTGAAATACGGGACATGCGGATCTTTAGAATTATGATGATGATATGTATATTATATACCTTTTTTTTATAGGGGGTATATACTATAGATATTATCATCATCATTCTAAAGACCCGCAAGACCCGCGGGTATTGTGAAAAGGGGTGCTGATTTTTTTTCAAAATTGAGTTTGAAATGAAAAAGACCATAGACTCATCCGAATATGTATAGTCTTTTTAACTAACAATACAAACATCTTCATTGTAAGTGTTTGTTAGCATAAGTCATATCAATTAATATTACTCTGGATTTTAATAAGCTCCAAATAACTCACTCTGATTTTCGTTTAATAGTCACATGGGAAATTTTATTTGTTAATTGGCATTTGAAATTCAAAGAAGATTCTAGAATGTTATTAATTGTTGCAAGGCGACAGTCTATATTTGAGACTCGAAAGTAGAGACCTGGGAAGTCTGAATTTTTTATTCTGCAATCTGACTCCAACTCTGAAATCTTTTTATCGAAAACTGTTGACCTCCAATATATTTTATTGTTTAATTTTGAATATGCACTAATTGATAATAGGGTTGCTACACTATTGTCACTTTTTATTAGTATTATTGAGTAATTAGTAATTATTTTTATTAGTAACTTATTACTTTTTAATATTAATCCTCTTTATTTCGATTATTATAAAATATGATAGAGCTATCATTCATTTTTATTCAAGAACTATAAGCTAGTGTCCTGCTACTTTATTACTAATTACTGTTATTATCGTTGAATTTTTATTACTGATAATAAATTAATAAGAATATTACTTCTCTAACTTACTAATTTTAATAGTTTATAACTTTATTACTTTGACTACGTTTGCAAATGATTATTAATTACCAGCGATAAGTTATTACTTATTACGAGTAATAGTAATTTACCATACCTAGTGGATAAAGAATCATTAAAAGATTCATTTTAAATTTCTTTTTCATTTATTACACAATGAAAATAAAAAAACAATTAGTAAGAAGTTTTCGAGATATACTACGCCCAAGCAATCAGAAATTGATGATGAAGAGAATTGTAGTACTTCAGATCACCTTGAAATATGTTTTTATTAATGCCATTATGTTTTTATGTTGTCGATTATTTGAGTGTGTTATTGTCAAAAGGTGATCAATGTGAGTTTGTTGTTCTGAAACTTGTTGTTAATATATGTTGGAAATGTTGTCTTTTATTTCTTTTTGTTTTTTAATATGAAAACGCAAAATTTGATTAGAGATTATGATCAATGTTATTTTAACTATTGATTTGATCGAATAAAATATAATTGATATATAGAGATGTTGAATTACTAATCTCAATCGAGGTAACAATCATTGAATATAACTCTTTTCATTGAATAGTTTATTAAAACAAAGATGAAATTAGTAGTTCTTTCTGTTATTAGCTCTAGAAACGAGGTATATAGAAAATATAAAAATTTCCTTCGTTAAAGATACGATCGGTTGATCTGGAAAATTTAATAATCCTTTTATTGCATAAGAGTTTTTCATGAAAATCTTAGCTTGATTATTTATTTATTTTCTTTTCATAAGTTAATTTACATATTAATTCATTTCTAGACATTATCATCAAATATTAATTCTTCACTTCCAACAAATGAGTCAGAAACGGAAACTTCTATTGAAAGATCATCATTAAATATTAGTTCTTCAATTTCAACAAATGAGTCAGAAACGGAAACTTCTATTGAACGATCATCATTAAATGTTAGTTCTTCAATTTCAACAAATGAATCGGAATCGAAAGGTCCTATTGAATATTCTCCTCCGAATATAAATTCTAATCGTATAGCTCTTAATGATATATTATCATTAGAATCAATAAATAATTTAACAATTCGACAATTAAAAGATATTCTAATACAAAATTTTGTATCAACAAATGGATGTGTTGAAAAAAAAGATTTAATTAATAAAGTTGAATTACTTTATCGAGATCATCAAAAACAAAAAGAATCAAATATAAATAGTAAAAATGATTTATTTTCTAAAATATATTATCTATTTATTTATTTATTTATTCATTTTATTTAAGTTACTAATGAACAATCAGATGAAAATCTATGCAAAATATGTATGGATGCGAATATCGACTGTGTATTTCTTAATTGTGGTCATTTATGTACATGTATACGTTGTGGTAAACAATTATCTGAATGTCCTTTATGTCGATCTTATATAATACGTGTCGTACGTGTTTTCAAAAGTTAAAAAAACAAAAAGATTCATATTTTATTTTTATGGATTTAATATATTTAAATTTCCTCGATTATCGTTTGTATTTTCTATGATATAAAAAATATGGAAAAAAGAAAAATGTTTGATCATTTGATTTTTTCGCTGGATCGAAAAAAAAATTTTGTTTTAATTATAATTTCCAAATTATTATAATATCAATAAAATATTCATTATTTTTAATTTCTTAAAAGAAATAAACAATTTATAAAAATATTGATAGATTATTCTCAAAGTAATTATATAAGATTTAATTATTATTTATTAAATTTATTATAATCAAAATTCATAGAATTATATTTAGACATGTACTAAGACAAAAATATCCTTGAGAAATATCAAAAATTTTTCCTCTTTAAAAAACCTACGAGACTTTTTGAATTACTCACCTTAGTTTCATCTCATCCTACATT